GGAAGAGGTCAGCAGATGCATAGAGGCGATGAGACTGATACCATTTGCTTCATGAGAGAGAATAACTGAGAAACTGCAACTATTTGCATCAGCACTTACTTAGGACACCCCCTAACCATGGGTATGCAGAACCCACACTAGTGACAGCTGATGACAACCTAACTCTAATACTTCATTCTAAATGACAATTATACACATGAACGATAAAAGATGAGTTCTAATGCACATTAGACTAGATGCAGAATGAAAACTTGTAGCAAGTTTAAGCCTACCCTTAACTACATACCTAACCAAAGGTAGCAAGAACAAAAAGATAAAAGTAAAGGGCGGACCTGAGAGCATGGCTGAAACTGAGAGAATCTCGTTTGAGCAGTTGAATTCAGGACTGACTATGAGCATCTTTGCCATCTGTGGATCCAAGGGGAACTCACTCATGATCTCACCTGTCTTTGTCAAGTTACCTTCATCATCCAATGCTCCCAAGTAATTCAAAACTTCTAAGGCTCGCATCAGTGTTTCCGGAGCAGGGGGATCCATAAAATCAAAGTGCACCAAGTCATCAATTCCAAGTTTTTTCAAGGTCAAAACTGTGTTTGCAAGGTTTGATCTCAATATTTCAGGATACGTCTGCGGCTGCAAGTCATTATTAAAACTCTTTTCTGTATAAAGCCTGAAACATTTTCCAGGGCGTGTTCTACCGGCACGACCAGATCTCTGGTGAGCACTTGCCTTTGAAATTGGGGAGACCAACAAAGACTCAACACGGATTCGAGGGTTGTAGACTTTTTGCTTAGCAAAACCAGGATCAATGACGTAGACAATCCCATCTATGGTTAGAGAAGTCTCAGCAATGTTAGTTGAGACAACAATTTTTCTCCCAGGAGGACCACCTTCTGTTACCGGCTCTGGAGCAGGATCAAATATCTTCTGCTGCATCGCAGGTGGAAGAGTAGAATTCAAGGGCACAACTTAAATAGGCCCCACTTGATTTCCGAGATTACCAACCTCATTATAGATTTTGCGGCAAGCATCTTCGATCTCGTCTTTTCCAGGTAAGAAAACAAGAATATCACCAGGTGGCTCACACATGAGAATCTGGACAACAGTCCTAATAGCAGCCTCAAGATAGTCCCTCTCAGGCTCCTGAGTGTAAAAGATCTCAACAGGATGAAGCCTACCAGGAACTTTCATCAGAGGAGCACCGCTAAAATAATCCTGAAACTTTTCAGCTTCTAGAGTTGCACTCATCACAACTAACTTAAGATCAGGTCTATTTTTCAACACTTCTTTCAGAAGACCAAACAGCACATCTGTGGCTAGAGTCCTCTCGTGGGCCTCATCGAGAATAATCACTTTGTATCTCTCTAGAAGCGGGTCCGCCATTGCTTCTCTCAGGAGCATACCATCAGTCAAGTACCTGGTCATAGTGAGTAACACATGATTAGATACAAGTCCACAAGTACATAAATTATAAAGATGAGAAGCTAAAAGAGAGACAATGCTTACTTAAGAACCGTTCTGGGGCTACTGCAATCCTCGAAACGGATGCTGTAACCAACTTCTTCCCCAATAGTTACATCCATCTCTTCAGCAACACGACGGGACACAGACATGGCGGCAACTCTACGAGGCTGTGTGCATCCAACCAACCACTTCCTACGCTTATCCGATGTTTCAGCATCCACAGCATCTATCACAAACTGTGGAATCTGTACAAATAAACAAAATTCAGTATTAGCCTCAAAACATCATCTCCGATTAAATCAACCAAAACCCTCCTCGATATAAATTATTCCTAAGCTTATATATCAAATTCGAAGTATCGGAATAGAAAAGATGAAAACTTTACCTGAGTGGTTTTACCACTACCGGTCTCACCAACCAGAATTAGAGTTTGATTGCTGTTCAAAGTTTTGAGAAACTCCTCTTTCTGCAGCCAGACAGGTAGAGTCCTACGTTTCTCCAGAATATCATAATATCTCTGTGAATAAGGCTTCCCGTTCCATTTATTGATGAGACTGTTGATTCCGCCGTCGGCAAGACCACTGATTTTGGTGTTCTTCGCCGCAGCAGACGGATCGTCCATAACATCGAACAGACTAATTTTCCTCTTTCTCTCCGTACCCATCACGAGAGTCTCTTACGAACGAATTACGGAAGCAAGAGAGATAGAACGAGGAAGCACAAGGCTAGGCCTTTGGAAGAAGCAAAAGCAGAAGAACGATGAATGAATGAAAATTTATGAAAGCTAGGGTTCGGCTGCGTGATTTAGGAGAAGAGAGAGAGGCGGCTTATGTTTAATTAGAATTTTCAATTTGACCCCAAATCTTAACAAGATATTCTTTAGCCCCCTCTAAGTATTTGGAAAAGGAGCCAGTGTTAGTTATGTGGGCTAGTAGGCTTTGTAATATGTAAAAATTGTCAGGCCTGGCCCAATATCCGAATGTACCGAATTATCGCCTTTTACACTTGGGCGGTGTAAAAGCCCGTATATTCATTTGGAATGTTGCGACAAGGAAAGCGACAAAATTACTAATTAATCCAAAACTTTTCCAAATATTATACTTTGTTTGTGGCCTACAAGATTTAGGTAGGTGATAGGGATTTCTAATTCTATTCAAATCAATGATCCAATAACCCCTCCTTAATTAAAAGACTGAACAACAACAAGATTTGAATGGAATTGGAAATCTAACTAAAATCATGTGTTATTCAATCATTGATTTTAAAATCTTTATAAAAATCAGCATTTGAGGTTGCGAGCTTAATCTGGTCCTTGGTAAGAACACATTGGTCCCACTCTTCAAAGATAGGGCTTGTCGGTCTCTGAGAAAAAACACAAGTATGCATCATACGTCTCCCAACGTTCGTCATGTCGGGTAGGTTCCATGTGGTGGGATTGATCTCAACAGAGTTCTTGCATGTCAAACCCCATTCACTCTCAAGCTTCACCAGAGTCTTCTTGATGTCAAATCCAACGAACGTGAATTGAGGTAGGTTGAGAAAATTGAAGAGAGAGACAGGAAGATTGACAGATTCCTCACAAGGAAGTTTTACTATTAGGCAATGATCTCCATCGCACAGCTGGAGCAATACGGTTTTGAATTGCTTTCTTGCTTTTTGAACCCGTTCTGTTTCAAGGCCTATGATTTTCTTCGTGTTCTTCTTGTTGGACAAGAATGTCTCCACAGCAAGTTTGATGTCGCTATCTTTATCAGTTACTATCGTTTTGATGCGAGCTATTCCAGTGTCCACAATTGATGAAGACATCTCTGAAAAATATATGATTCCATAAACCATAAATCCATGGTAGATTCTAATGATTAATAATGAAAACGGAAGCATACCTGATGAATCCATACCTTGTGATCTGGATTTAGGATTAGGTCTTCCAAAGCAAACCCTAAGTTGCTTTAGGTTTCTGGTGGTGAGATGTAGAGAGTTTCCTTATTTTTTGGTTAGTGTTGTTCTGGGGATCATAACCCTCTATTTATATAGAAATAATTTCTAATACATCTCCTCATTGAATTAGAAATTACTAAGTGTACCCAAATACTATTTTTTCTATAAGAGTTATGCCTCGTATCATTTACTTTATATTAAAGTGACCTCATAAGTTTTAAGTAACTAATTAAATGAGGATCCTAACACGTTTGTGAACCCCAAATAATTTTTACAATCTCTGTTAGTATAGGAGAAAAAAATGGTAGATACGTTATCTTTATATAGACGTAAGGGAATTGCAAAAGTCTTAACCTTCCGTAGAGGGAAACGAAAGTTAAAGTTAAAATGGATTTATATGAGTTTTCTCAACCTTACAGATTTACGAGGCGTTAATAATTTGTTAGTGTCATCAACAACTTAAACATTTCCAACGAGCCTTAAAAGAGATATTATGACGACTAACTTTTATCTTTCTCTCCATATACTGTAAGATGGAAGAGTGGAGATGCTGAATAATGAATTAAAGGCTACATCTTAATATGTGGCCACCCAGAAATTTACGAATGGTGTCAAGGCCAGTTTCAATTTAAACGAAGATACTGTAACTTTTTATGTACACAAAATAATTGTTTGTGGCTCAAGAGATTCGTCCATGTAGTCGACCACTAAAATGCAAACATAAAACCAGCTTCCATTATTATTATTATCCAAGTACTTAACAAAACAAAGCAAACAAAGAAACACAACCAGACGTCTTGACTCAATCAATACTCAGCCATGAGCACGTTCCCAATTTTGAAAGCAAAGTAAGCATTGGCGGTTGCAAGATTGATCTGCTTCTGGCTAAGTCTGTAGGAGCCCCAATCCTCGAAGACGGCACTTGTTTGATACTTAAAAGAGACAAACGGGGAGAGGGTACAAAAAGGATTGCTGCTAAAAGAGACAAACTGACGGACAATACGGCATTTCTCCTCAGTCTTGTTTAAAAGGTCCCACGACGAGGGTCCGATCTCAACAGCATTGTTGCAGGTCAAACCAAACTCGCTCTCCAGATTCATCAGAGTCTTGTTGATGCCAATTCCAACGAATGTGATATAAGGCAGGTTGAGAAAATTGAGGAGACCGGAAGGAAGATTTCCACCAACAGGAAGTTGAACAATTAGGCAATGGTCTCCATCGCAGAGCTGGAGCAAGGTTGTTTTACTCTGTTGGCCTACTTTCTGCGCCCGCTCAGTGTGAAGACCAATAATTTTCGTCATGTTCCCCTCATTATCCAAGAATGTCTCCAGAATACCGCGAACGCTGATGAAGCCGTTGTATTTACTAGCTATGAAGGAATTGACGCGAGCGCTTCCAATGTCTACAATCGAATTCATATTATACTGGAATAATGAGCGTACATGATGAATCCAAGTGCTCAAGGTACTTGCATCTTTATAGGTAAAAGGGAATTTCAAAAGCCACAGCATTTGGAGAGGAAACCGAAGAGCCAAAAGTTAAATGCATGTACTTAATTATAGCTGTTTGGACCTTTAAGATTCATGAGGCATTAGTAATATCGTAACGTTATATATTATCTTCCTGAATAAGTTTTTCATGGCCACAGAAAAACCATTCCATCAAGTCTTCAAAATGCGATAATGGCTAAACTGAAACAAATCTTCTGTTTAAAGCCAGAACTATGATTACAACGGAAATGGTTTTATAACTACTCTTAAGAAAGAAATTCTTAAAATGTATACAACAAACCCAAAGAAGGACCAGATATCTGGCAGTTACATGTACTTGTTGCAAGGTGATTCAACATATGTCCAGATATGAGAATGGCTTCACAGTAAGAAACAAACCTCGGTTGCGCATTGTTTGCACTTGTTGGTCGTTAATCCAGTTCCAGCACAATCCTGAAATTTTCAGAAAGCTTTTAGGTTACAAAAATAACAAGCAATCTAAACCTTCTAATTCACACTCAACAAAACCAAGAACGATAAGCTTCAGTTAACCATAACAGCATATTACTTCTGTCTTCAAACAGGGGAGTAGCAACTTACCAAACACGATCTGACTACGATGGTCTAATAACGATTGTAGGCTTTTCCATAGTCCTCACGTCTCTGGCGTTGGAACCCACCATAATTGTTGTCTTGATGCCTTGAAGAATAGTTATCTCCATGATTTGGATATCTTCCCTTGGAATCCATTGGCACATTGTTTCCACCATAGGGAGGAGGATTTGAAGAGTAGCCATCATCAAACTCAGCATAAGGAGGAAACTGTCTATAGTTACCATAATTCAGGCCAGAGTTTTGCTGCCGTGCTTGCTGTTGACGTCTCTGAGCATCCAGTTGAAGGAATTCATCCCATTGTTTAGCATTCATACCCCTTAGCCCAGCCAGTTTCTTCATGTAACTCTCTCTCAGTTCCCGGATTGTCTACAAACTCGCACAAATTGATGTCAGAAGCTGAAGTTCCTCAAAAGGAATTGCATTTCACTAGGAGACTGGGGACTAAATTACATTTGGAGAGATCCGCTGCCATCTAATACTATGAGCAATGAGCAATGTAAAAAGCATGAAACTTTCATAGTTGAAACTAATAGGAATTGTGATTTCTTAGGTGACAGAATTCAATCCAGCCTATACTCGGTTTTGAATCTAAGAGGAACACATTCAGTCACTGGGTCACTTACCTCACGATGCTTAATGTTCTCCTCATCTTCTTCTTTATCGCACTTTTTTTCAAGCTCCATTGCATCCCTCGTATATTCCAATTCTAGTTCTTCTAAAGTCTGTGGGAAAGGAGGGCGTTCAAACTGATGTCTCACCTGAATATCGCTGGAGCCACCCATTCTCTCCTGATCCCATCTTTCAGACCTATAACCACTCACCTCAGACTTTTGCCTATCATACGGTTTATCCCATCCACTATAACGTGGTCTCCCTGGAGATTTCGAATGTGTGGAACGACTCCGAGCTCTGTCACTACCATAAGCTTCATAAAATGAATAATAATGTTAACTGCCTGACCACGAGACTGAACGAAAGGTTACAGCTACAGTAAGATACGTGATCTCAATTTCATTCAGAGAAGATCGAGCAAAAGTTCAGTAAACAATTTATTTACTTCAGTACTGTACAAAATGCTTGAACAAAAGGACTTACCTTTGGCTGCAAAATAAAGATAAAGAAAGGACATTATCGGCCAAAAAAAGCCGGAAAACGACCAATCAACTTCCTTAAAGACAAGACTAAAAGAGAAAATAACCAGGTCTCTAAGGTATCCTATCCTGTCCCTACCTTGTGGTGATCCTCGGGAAACATTTCGCTGATTCTCACGTATACGATTCTCTTCGCGCACACGATTATCCACAAACTTATCTTGCCTTCCAGAGCGCTCTGGGAAACTTGATGAACCATGTGATGGAGGGTGCTGCCTTTGAGGTTCAGAGTTTCGAGCACGTGGTGGACCAACAGAAGTTCGCCTAGGTGACCTCGATCTGCTCCTGTGGGAAACAGAAGAACTTTTCATCTCACCATCCTCCTTAACCTTGTGAACAGCATCAACACCTTTCCTCAAGATTAATCTGTCCTTGCCACTAACAATTATGAACTTCTCATCCATTTTAATCTTGCAGCCGGTCTCCCTTTCAATACTTTCTATAACTTGCTCAGTAAACAAAACTCTCACATTATTGTCCCTAGCTGGTACCCTTTCAAAGAATTCTTGAGACTTCCTGTTGGCACCAAGTGTAGATGGACATCCCTAACATATGGAACAAAGAGTAATGATGCAGCAATCAGAAAGACACACAAATGATGTATAAACTATAAAGGAGTTTGCAAAAAGAAATGATTACCTGAGTAAAATGACCAGACTCGCCACATATTTTACAGATCATTTCTTCTTCTTTTCTCTTCTTCCAATTCCTCTCAGTAGCTTTGGATTTAGCCTCCCAAACCTTAGCTTCTCGGCTAGTGAAATCAGTTGGTACAGAATTGGGGTCAGGTAGTTGCTCTTCTTCATCACATCTTTCTTCAGAACGTTGTTTGATAGGTTTGTCTTTGTCTTGGATAGTGTTGTTGGTCACAGTACTTGCAGGACCAGTATACTCCTTGTAGATTTCACTAAAGTCATCATCAAGCTCTGGGTCCGATCTAGTGCTCTCCATCTACAAATAAACACAACTTTCAATTTCAGTTTTCCAGAAAGACAATGATTCAATCGAGAGTTCATTCATCCATAAAAGTATCAAATTTGAAGACTCTATCACTAAGAATTAGAACAAGGAGAAAAAAACTGTGAATTTAGAAGAAAGACGCCACATTTTTCCAGAAGACAGATAACATAATTATGAGAAATTCTTCATAACTCAATAATACGATTAAACCAAAAAAAAAGTTGCCATCTTTCATAGAGATAAACGAAACTTGTGAGAGAATTCGAATAACCCTGTTACCAAACTCGCCGATTGTCACAGATTGTCACAAATAGCTCAATGCAACCAACGAGACAGCCAATAAGAGAGCGAAGAAGAGGAAGAGTGTAACCTACAAATTGGGAGTTAGGGTTTATCCTACCTTGCGAGGTGCGAATCAATGGCGACCCAATTTCTTAAAAACGAGAAGAAGATGCTAAACGAGACAATTAGCTTATTAGGGTTCGGTACCTGTGTGAACTGGAAATTGACAGCTCCCAATAATCAATTTTTAATTTCTTCTTTTGAACCTTCGATTTCTGTAAATAACAGATATACCCTCAATAAAACGTCGTCGTTTTTTAGTTCTTAAGTTTTCACGTTTTTATCCATAAACGCTGTCATTTAACTATGGTAATTAGAATGAGTTATATACCATTACAAAACTTTTCTGCAATCTCTGAAATCTCAAACGACTTCTTTATTAATTATAGTTGTATGATTGTATCCGCTGTTCTAAAAATCGGGCGCCTAGCCGCCTAGGCGCCCGCCTAATCTGTGATTGGCAGCTCTCCGCCGCAATTTTAACCAATTCGGACTAATTAATCGTTAATCCGATTTTGCGGCCGCTTAATGTGTTAAGCGTTGAAAATCGTTCAAGTCAACGATTTTTACCAAAAATTTTAAACTAAATTTGGGCCACAGATAACTAAGGTCCATATAAAATCAAAAGCAACTAAGTAGAGCTATATATAGGATAAAATTTGGATGGTTGATTCTTTTCTTCTCGATGTGGAACTTTTGGTTTTGTAAGGGTAGAGACTTTCATCACTTACACGTGAATAAGTAAAAAAGTAATAAAGTTGAATATATTTATTTGAGTAATAATAATTAAATGAAGATATTAATTGATGCCAATCTTCTTAACATGTTAATGTTTTTTACATTGACTACATACATGTCCACATCTAATTATTTATTTTGATAATATTTCTTTTACCAGTGTAAATTTTCTTTGAACATATATATCACACAAAGTATTTATTTTTAACATTTCATTAAATTAAATAATGTATAATATATATGTATATAGATATTTGATAATATATATATATATATATATATTTATTTTAATATAAAATAATACATAAAACTAATTCCGATTAAATCCCGTGTAATTTCTGATTTTTTAGCTAGGCGCTAGGCCCACCTCCGCCGCCCGACTAGCGCCTAGCGATTTTTTAAACAAGGTTGTATCATACATTGAAGAAGAAGAGGGAAAAACAAAAAAAAAAGACTTTATATTGTTAATGTGATCGATGTTATACTTATATAAAAGCCATTTATCATTAATCTAGAGTAGTCAACAAAAAAAAAAGCAACAACATTAAATCGAATTAAACTTAATTAGATCTCTTGATAAGGAGAAACTAAGGTCTCGGTATACAAAGCGGTTTTCGAACTATGGAACGGGATTTGGTCCACATCAATTTTTCCTTCTTTAGGCCTAAATTTTGCAGCTTCTAAACCGATCATCCAAAACTTTGTAGCTAACCGACCAATACTTGTAACATTAATAGAAAAGATCTTCTCCCATTTCTCAATTGAGTCTTCCATCTTCAATGACCATACATCCACATCCGGGTATTGTAGCACGTTCGATAGACATAAACGATCTTTCAAACTCCATAATCTCATTATGTGACTACGTTCGTCATACCAACTCGGCCAAGATACTCTACTAAAGTTTTCAGTGTGAAGATCCAACGCTACTAACTTAATAGGTGCTTTTGATGGTGACTTGTGATAACGTTGTGTCAACCAAAAGACGGATCCATTTGCAAAGACTGATGTTTGCTCATTAGAAATTTCCATGTTGGAAACAGGGAAAACACCAATCTGTCTTTGTTCGCTGCCATTGTCGAGGTTCAAAACCGAGGTCTTGAGAAGCATAGCATGTTCATCGAGACGTTTGTAGCAATTTATATTTATCGTTTTGTACGTTCCTGTTACTATGTCTTTCCCAAATCCAATGCAAAATAGCAATAGAGGCATAAAATCTACAGAGAAAAACATATATGTTATTCAAATTACCAATATTTTTTCTGTTGTTAAAGTATATATAAATTTGCTTTCATAATATTCTATAAAATTTGCAAGTTTGAGACGAATTAAACACATACCTGGAACGTGTTGCAACTGCGTTGGATAAAGTTTCCGGTGCTCTCTTGTCGCGGGGTTGATTATGTATACACTTGGTTCTAAATTTTTCCGATTCCTAAAGTTAGGCTATAACATTAGTGATTGACGAAAACTTTGAGAAAATTAGATTTATTGAAATTATTATCACTAAGTTAAAAAAAATAGAAGAAGATAAAATTCACTAAAAAATATCAAAAACAACCAATTTTTGTAATCCTTGCATATGCAAAGATTGATAGCTTGGCAACCAAATTCTGTACATGATAATTAGTATACCTTAACTCTTGGATGCAGACCAAACCGTCACAAGACCCTATAACTTTACATATGGTTATAGTTGGACCCACTGTTCTTGGACCATGAAAAATGTAAGAGCAAGGAGAACGACTGATTTGTGTGTCGATTTCGCCTTGATGATCTCTTGAAAAAGTCTCTAGAAGAATAGTTAGCGAGTTGTCGTCATCATGAGTCCTTGATCCAACAACAATTTTCGGGTTTGAGAAAGGACAAACCAAATGTTTTCTAACGAAATAGGTAGATTCGATCATCGATCTCCATTGTTTGGATACCGACTTGAATCGAATCAGAGATTTCACAGGAAGGTGTTGGAGGATCTCATCTTTCACTAAATCCTCATTTCCCCATTTTGCCATCGTTTTCGCCCTCTAGATTTGCAATTAGGGCTTTAGGTTTCCTTTTAGCTATATATATATATATATATGTAATAATATAGGACCTTGTAAAGAATATTCTTTTGTTTTATTTCCAACAACATCGTAAATAGTTTTAAAAATATATTCAAGATAAGATATATATTTAAAATTGTTAGTTAGTTACATCAAATATTAATTTAGTTAAAAAAATTAATAGATTTTTTCGGTGTCGACAAAAAAAAGGTTTTTTCGGTTTTAAGTATAATTTTTTAAAAATTATAAGTAAATTTTAGTGTGGATATTTTAATAATTTTATATATTAAAAATAGTTTTTAAAATTTAATAATTTTATATATTAAAAATAGTTTTAAAAAAAAAAGGATGGGTATTTTTCAAACAAAAACTCATAAAGGAGGCATTTTTCCAAATTTACTCTTAAATATTATTTTGTCAATAATTCTTTCTTTTACAAATCAACAGCATGTGAAATTACATTACTAACTCAATTTAATAATATTTAAAATTTATCGATTTACCCCAAGATGCGTAAATAACATATATAAAATATTAATCGCTTATGTGACCATAAAGAAAATGAAATCGAATAATTAATATCGCAAGCTTCAAACCAAATGTTGCATAACACATAAGATAGACAATTTTAAATAACACATTGGCGCCCCTAGTATGGACTTACAAAATCACATTCATATATTGCCTGCCTCCTTATGCACAACCATCGTTCTTGGACCCGAAAAAGATTGCTTCCCTATGTATAAATATAGTCACGAAA